GATGTAGAGCAGCTGTACCAGGATATCCATGCTCTGCTGGAGGCTCCAGTGAGAAGAAGATGGGACTTCTCAGCTAGGCCATAGCTTTTATCTTGATCCTGGGGGCTGTTTTGCATTGGGGGAGGTTTTTGGGAGGATAGAACAAAGCCAAGGAGATTTTGCTTTTCACTTCTGGTAACTGACTTTTGCTTTGTACTTCTTAGTAGAAATGAAAATAGGTACTCAGGAATATTTATCCTGGTTCTGACTGGGTTTTTAATCCCTGATTACCAAGAATTTTTTTTGAGTCACACTGTGCATACCTGCCAGGCAAAGGATGGAAATGTTTATGGTGAGTCCACATTCAATCAATGATGGTAGAACAAGGTATCAATTATTTGATGAATTTGAATGTCTCTGAAAATTCATGAATTGGATTTAGGAAAGAAATTGGGCTCATAGTGGTCAGAAATCATATTTATGAAAATTTAGAATTTATTATTTTGGTGTCAACACAGACATCTTATTCTTATCCCTCATCTATTAGATAATTTGTGATTACTAACATTTAGTATGTGAGATCTCATGTGTTCATCTGGGAGAAAACAAAAACACAATTGACTGATTTGGATTCTGTCTTATTAGGCTCAGACTATTCACTTTCTTAACTGGAAACACCAGACATGGGCACTTTTCATTAAACATCTTTATATACAGTAGTCTGCTTTTCTCTTTGTGTTTTTATTTCTCCCTTTCTCTGACCTCAGGTTTTATCACATAAGAACCCAGGTTTTATGATTATTGCATTTGCAAGGGATGAGAAAGTTAGCAGATCATAACACCCCATGAAAAGTAGTATCATCCGGCCAGGCTTGAGGGTTATGTGATCTGAAGTAATAAGAAGGCAGAGTGATGACAAGACATGAAAGGAGGGCATGCTTGAACAGTGGGAACTGTTTGTCTTCTGGAGAGGATAACCATAGAGAACAATGAACTGCAGAACTTTCTTCCATGCCTTGGTAATGTAAATCACCAGGGAATGGAAATGAGTTACCAACTTGCCTTGTCAGATCCTGGAGAACATCCACCATTTCCTATGTGTGGGTACTCTACATTTTATGTTCCTCAGTTTGCTGTGCATAATATGTTTACTGTGAGTGGCAGTGATGGAGCTAGGCCTTAGCATAGGTGAGGCAGTATTCCTGGCAAATACTGATGGGGAGCCAAGACTATGAGTGCTGTGTTCTCCTTAATCATGATGTTGAGGAAGTTAGAAATATATTTTTCAGATATGATTAGCATATTTCATGTTGGGTTTGTCTGTTATTCTCATTGTGGTTACAAAAATGGGGGAGGAATATCACAAAAAAGTGAAACATTTCTGATACTACACTTGGGAACTTGGTATAGGTTGATTTATTCAGGTATTGTTTACTTTGTTTATGGCAGAGATAGTTTGTATCTGTATTCTGTACTCCCTTGAACCCCAAGCTTCTGTTTTCTGGGAATATGTCTAGAATAAAATCACTAGGGCAAAGTTATTTGTAAAAGGAATGAGTTGATGGTATAATCACACTTTATTTATAATTATCTTCTTTTTGAGTGGTGGATCCTTATTCTTAAATGGTTCATTAGTCATTATTTTTTCTTATGTGGGAAAGAAATGACACTCATTTAATGGGCCATGTTATCATGATTATACCAGCTTGTCCATTTGTGTTGTGGATAGAATTTTGTCAACATAATGCAAAATAGAGTCATCAGGGAAGAAAGAAGCTCAGCTGAAAAATAGGCCTCCATCATTTTGGTCTTCAGACAAAATTGTGGGAGCCGTTTTCTTGTTTAATGGCTGATGTTGGAAGGCCAATAAGTATGTTGAAGATGCCATCCATGAGAAGGTGTTTTTTGTAAGAGGAACAGTGGGCTGCTTCCTGCCACCTGGCTCCTAGCTGCCAGACTATCTTAACCCCCAAAATAATGACACAGAAACTGTATTCATTTAAGCATTGTCTGGCCCATTAGTTCTAGCCTCTTATTGACTAAATCTCATGTCTTGATTCAACCCATTTCTTTTAAATTTGTGTATCACCATGAGCTCATGGCTAACTGGGAAAGATTGAGCATGTCTGACCTGGTGGCTGTCTTCATGGTGGGCTCTCCCAGGCTGCCTCCTTCCCAGCATCCTGTTCTATCTACTCCACCTACCTAGTTTTCTACCCAATCAAAAGGCCAAGTTAGTCTCTTTATTTAACCAATGGAAATAACACATAGACAGAAGACACTCCTACACCACGTGTTCCTGGTTTGTATAAGAAAGCAGGCTGAATAACCATGGAAACCAAGGTGGTAAATCAGAGTTTCTGATTCAGTTCCGACCTTTAGGTTCCTATCTAGATTTAATGTCCTGATTTTCTTCATGATGGTTTGTGAGAGTTAACATGACAGAACCATTTTCATTCCCATGTTGGTTTGGTTCATAGTGTTGAACACATTAAAAGGTCACAAGGTAGGACAATTGAAAATTATTTTCATGAAATTAGGAACGTAGGGGGCATTGTGACTGGAGGTGCTGTAAGTCTTGCCATCCAAAGATTCTCTCTGCATATTTGTGCTCCAGATTCACTGTGGTATACTTCCTGAAAAACAACATAGAAACCAAGTGGGGAATATACGCAAATTCAACACTAGCCTCCAAACATATGTGAAAACCATGTACTATGCATACACAGTATAATCAATTAGCATTTACATCCATCCAAACATTGTCTTTACTCTGAATGGGATTCACAATTTGTAGTTGTTTAGGACTGTGTTATGGATGTTGCAGAGCTTAGATGAACAGCTTGATATGGAAACCAAAAGATAAGCTCCTGTAGACTTGTTCCCTCTCCACAACTTTCCAACTGTATTTCCTACTCTGGAGACTTCCATTCCATTCCCAGCCATGAGAGTGACTCGTTTAAGACTATGAAAGCAAGAAATGATATTTTTCTAAGAGCTTAATTCCTATTTTTAAGTGAGTTTGGTTCTTAACCTTCAGACATTTCACATGGTAACAAAGCATTCTACCACAGAGCTACAAGCCTGGCGCAATCTTTTAAAACATCACATTTTCTACAGAAAATATTTTTTTTTACTACTATATTTATGCACTACTAAAATAAACAGTAGGAACCACAAGTCATTCTTCCTTAACACCCAACACTTATAACTGATTCTGTAAAGGATGAATTTACTGTCAGGCAGTAGTGGTGCAAACCATAATCCCAGCACCAGGGAGGCAGAGTCAGGCAGATACCTGTGAGTTTAAAGCCAGTGTGGTGTTCAAGAACTAATTCCAGGACAGGCTCCAAAGATACAGAGAAACCCTATCTTGAATACACAAAATTAAAAACAAAAACAAAAAATAAACAAAAGGATCAATTTCCTGAGCATACATTTTGAGAACATTGGGGTATTGAGGATAAATCAAACCAAACAAAGAAAACACAAGGAGTAGAACAAGGAGAAGTATGGAAACTGCACCCTCAGCTGGTGACTGCTATTCTCATTCTGGACTCCATTACCTTTTCATGACTACTGTGTAGCTGAACCAAAGATTGTGCTGGAATCTCTACTCATGTTCAACACCACACACCTGAATGAAAAGAAAAATAAGAGCACACTGTGCATATGAGTTACAGTGTCTGTCACACATCTCAAAGAGGAAGAGAGGTCCTTTTGAGCTGTGTTCTTTGCCTTTGGTGCTTTAGGAATGACTGGGATCTTAAGGAAGAATAGGAACTGGAATGTCTTCAGAGACTTTCTCAGGGTAAAGGAGGCTCTGAGCCTGATGGCTATGTTGCTGCTCACCTGACCTCAGAGAACTTTTTTATGGTGATGATGTTATGGTAACCTCTGAAATGTAAACTATTTATAGATGATGAGAAAATATGCATCACTGTGTCAAACACACAGGCACTCAGACATTTACACACAGACAGATATACAATAACAGAAACAATCCTTCCCCAAAACACACTTACACGGGCAGATGGATACATGTATATTAACTTCATACGATATTTAAAAATATTCTTTTCCCACCCTTGTCATTTATTCTACTTAAAAACAAATAACCGTGCTCATTAATAATCTACTGTGATTACATTGATTCATCCCACTACCCTCTCCCCTCTTTCTCTCACTCCTTTTACCCTATGTCCTCTCCTACTCTCATGTGTCTTCTTTTCTCTTCTCCCTCCTTTCCTGCCTTCTTCTACCAACTCTGTTTCTTATTCTGCTTATCAAGAAATGATATTTCTGGGTCACATCATCTTGTGTAATTCTCTGAGGAATCCCCTAGTTTTTATTGTCTTAGTAGGACCACATTGTCATTTCTACAGCACAGGCATTCCTTCTCCTCCATTCCCATAATATGGTCTCATTCTTTCTTTAGTAAATGGCACTCATATCATTAGTTACAGGCAACTCATTCTGTTGGTTTTAAATTCATTTCTGTGATTGTTAAAATGACAGCTTTATGCAACCTCTTCTGTCCATTTTCACTGGTCAAAGTGAAGCATCACAATCAGAGGATGGAGGGCAGAACACTGTGTGCTCATGAGGACATCAACTCTCATCTCTGGGTTCCCAGAGCTATCTGTTAACCTTCTGACTCAGAAGAGATTGAGAGAGAAAGAGGGAGACTGATAGAGACTGTGACATAGACAGAGATATGGAGACACAGAGAGATAAAGGGAAACAAGGAGAAACACTATAATAAATAATCACAAACAATACCACTGGAACCAGAAATTTAAATAATAATTTGGACATTCAAGGATTACTGTACACTACACCTGTAGAGAAAATCCCTAAGTTTGATATGGACAGGCAGTTCTGAGGCAATGAAGTTTAGTCCTCCATGCTTCTCTAAGAAGGCTCTTCTGTGTCTAAGAACTCTAAGTGCTCTCAGCCCCCCCTGCTGGCCCCGTGTTCCCCACAGGGTTGTTTTTGTTTGAGCTCACAGTAACATTCATTCACTTGTCTCTTGCACAGTAATACATGGCTTTGTCCTCTGATCTCAGACTGCTCATTTCCTGGTACAGAGTGTTCTTGGCATTGTCTCTTGAGATTGTAAACCGGCCCTTCATAGCGTTGATATACCAGGTGGTACCACCATCTGGGCTAATGTGTGCAAACCACTCCCGTCCCTTCCCTGGAGGCTGGCGGACCCAGCTCATGTAACTATTGCTGAAGGAAAATTCAGAGGCTACACAGGAGGGTTTCAGGGACTTTCCAGGCTGCACTAAGCCTCCTCCAGACTCCAGCAATTGCTCCTCACAATGGACACCTGTAAACACAAAGAATTCTGGCTAAAAAAAAACTGACACAGAAGACATTTTTTCTCTTTCTCATGTACACACAACACACAGCGTGTCATCTTTATGAATTACCTTTCAAAATAAGGACAAAGAAAACCATTATAAGCCCTAAGTCCATGGTGAGTGTCCTGTGTTCAGTGTTGAACCCTTACTGGGAGGACTTGGAAATCCAGGGCTTGTCTCCTCTGCCAGAGTTGCAGGGTCAGGGCAGAGTTGGATTTTATGGGCACAAAGAAGCCTTATTTGCATATTTTCCTGCCATAACAGCCTCTGTAGTTGGACCTGGACAGAATGAAGTACTCAGAGTAGATATAAGACATCATACACACTGGTGACAGAGAAATTGAAGCATTGACATAGCTCTGTGTACACATTTTCCTTGTTAGGGATTCACCACACTGTATTTAGTTATCTTTTCACCATATGCATGGAAAATGTTCTTGTTGCTCTCTGTCTTCCTCTCAGTGATTGCTGTAAGGAATATTTATATTTGCAGCACTTAATTGTTTCCATCCTGAAATTCTTTCTATGATCACTTTTTACTGCCCACTCTGCCTTTCCCTTTCCCATCTTCATACCAGGCAACACATGGCTGTCTTCATGCTGTCTTAGGTCAATTCTTATTTCTGCGCATTTATATAGTCAGCACAATGGGGACATTTAATGCATTTTTGTAACAAAACATAAAACTTTTGCATCAATTTTGTATTTTTAGAAGACATTGTTTTTATTTTCCCAAATTGTCATGTTTTATACCCACGCAGTTTCTTTCTCACTTTATACCCATCATTTCCTTTCAAAAACTCTGTATTACCCTGTGCTTTCTCTCTCATATTCTTCATTTAAGATGTCTTTTCCTGTCTTGACTTCCATTCTAGTTCTAAGCCTAGGAAACAGAAGCCAGAGCTCCAAACACACAGAGTCCCAACACACAATCTGGATTCTCTCTTTAAGGCAGAAACTGTCCTTCCCAATCTTCAATATGTTATGTGATATAAGATTTCCAGTATCATTCAAGTTCCTCTAAGGCTCAGAAACTACAGATGAAGAGGATGTGGGAAGAATGTGAGGAGTGGAGCACAGGGAGGGGTGCTGTGAAATGCTGTATTCTGGACCTGTAATTGATATTACAATCATGGATTCATAATGGCTGCTGTTTCCTTTATGAACCCAACTATGTTCAAACCAGCCAAAACCATGATATAGATAGGGCTGATAATTCTTTGGCCTTATTTCTTACTGAAAGGAGTTGGAGATTTATTTTTCTGGACAAGGGATATAGTCACCGTTTTTTGAGGGTATGGTCCCTGGTATATTTCCTATGTTGCAGTGCTTGGGTTCAAACACATGCAGATATGAGCAACAGTAACTGGGCTTAAATAAGGATAAGGTTGGTATGGACCTAGCTTTGGAAGATGAGCTGGATGGAAAAATACGACATTTCAAGATCCTAAAGAATAAAGAAAAATAGTAAAGGCTGTATAACTGAGACTCAAAACAATAAATTCTGAAAGCCAATTAAGGAACCCTGGTAAATATAAAATAACTTGATGGGCAACTTTATCAGGGACCATATTCCCATTCAACTAAGAACTGATGGGGTCCTTCACTTATTTCTAAAAAAAATCCAGTTACAGAAAATCCTATATATGATTTGTAAAATATCTTTTCAAATTTAGTTAGCTGTTACTGTTCTCTATGGTGACAATATCTCATCATCAATCAGAAATCGGGGGAAAACATAATGTTCTTGCCCTACCCTTTCAGGGCTCATGCTTCAGGAACAGTTATTCTGGTGTTAGATTATACATATGTGTCTTCTAGGTATCCCCTTTTCTTTAAAGTTTTCTAGAATGAATCAGAGGACAAACATAGGAGAAGAGAATTTCAAAGACATCTCTATAAACATTTGCTGCTTCTTTTCTACGACAGAGGGGAAACTTTGCCTGTGCCTATTTATTCAATAATTTATTTTCTTTAATGTGAATTTGTGAAGCCTTTTCATTTTTATTGATAAGTTCTCAAGAAAAAGTTCTGGGTATTCTTTGTCAAAAGTAAAATTGTTAGAATGAGAATAGAGGTATTGGTGCTGATATAGACTTCGTCTAACAAACTCATTAAAATTTTATCCTGTTCATCCACTTCAGTAACAACTATGTAAGCTGATGCCCACAAAGACCCTGGAAAATATGACAGTGGAACCTGTGTGTTCAACATTGTGTGCAGCTATTTAATTCAGTGTTATATGTTCTTCTGTCAGTATTCTAAGAATGTAATCAATGTGGTCTCCAAAGTTTCATCACACTATTAGTGTCACAGCCTGATATTCCAGAGAATCCTGAGATTAATAGGTTCTCTTTTCCTTTTTAAACTTGCCCAAGCCTATAACCTATTAACATTAAATCATTTCCTAGAACTTCCTGAGAAACACAAACTCTTAGAATGTTCTTCTCACTTTCCTTATTTTTGCTACAGTTTGTCAAGCTTTCTTTAGATACTTACTTCTCCAAACTTCTTTCTCCCCTTTCTGTGGTTTTCTCAAATGAAGAGAGTAAGGCTTTTCTCTCTTTTTTATTTCCTTCCTTTCTTTCTTATTTTTCTTGTTACCAAGGGACATATGTCTAAACTATAAATATTTTTGCTTCTGAGAAGATCCAGCTCCTTCATCTAATACATAAATACTGTTTACCTTATTTTTTAAAAAAATGATTTTAATCTTCAGTGTTTGTTTTGATGTTCATTGTGTGTGTACTATTCTGAGTATAAAGCTTTCCTGGATTCCTGGATCCCTGACTATGCTTAATATTTCTGCTTAACTTGAGTTCTATACTGTTTCAACCATGCAACCAAGCTGAGATTCTGCCCTGAGTCTAAGGGAAGTCAACTGTTTAGATTCTTAAATTATTTCACATCTAACCTTGCTCCCCCCAGAAGAATCAGTTCTTCCCTGTGTCATGGTCTCAATCTCATTTGGGTCAAATGTAAGTTTTGATTATATCTTTATTTAAATATATATGTCAAAGTTGAAAATACTGTTTCATCAATTCAAATATGTCTACACACCACACTTGTAGAGAAATTTTCTGAGTGATGTATAGATGCAGCTCAGACATATGGAGTCCAGCTCTTCATGTCCCTTTGCTCTTGTTCAGGGTGACTTTCTACTTTCTTACTGGTCCCCTATGTTCAAAAGGATGCCCCGCATTGAGGTTTGTGTCTAGGTTCATACTTATTCTCCTCAATGTGCATTTTGACACAGCAATACTGTATCATAGACTTTCAGACTATCCATTATGAGGTGCAGAAAGTTTTTGTAATTGTCTTTAGAGATGGTCAATCTATCCTTGACAAAATGTGTATATTTTATTGAGACAATATCCTATATTTTCTTTATGTCTGTTCTGAATTTGATTCCTTGGGTTTGCTATCTGCTGATTGTGTCCTTCTAGTCATAAGTTCTTCTGAATGAAGTTTTGTGCCTGGGCTCACACAGAATTTCCTCACTGTGTATCTTTCTCAGAAATACATAGCAGTGTCCTCAGTGGTCACAGACTATAGTTTCAGAAAGAACTTGTTCTCAGATGTTTCATTAATTATGAACCATCGGCTCTTGTAGAAAGGACTTTAACTGGTGCCACAACCACCAACCACTAGTTACATAACTCACCCTCTCTAGGACCTTCCTTGGAGCTGTCAAATCCAGGCCCAGGCTGGTGATGGAGTAACCACTGACAGTGCAACTGAGGGAAAATGAGTGTGATAGCTTAATTAGTCTACGTCTTGTCTCCTGAAGCTTCACCTGGAACAACACACCTGAGTATAAAAAGATATAGCCACTATCAATTAGCTGCTGTTAAAACCACTATACTGATATATGTGTATAATGGTAACACTCACCTTGAGGTGTTGTCACCAGTCACAGGAGAAGACCCAAAAGCCTCATCGATAGACAGCACTCCTTTTTTCACTGAGATCAGGAATGTGTGTGAAACAGCTATGAGATCCTACAGCCCTGGAAAGGATATAACAGAAATGGAAGATAAATTTCCACGCAGAAAGCCAGTCTTTTCTTTATAAGTCAGGGGGTTAAAATTGACTCCCCACATTCCTTTCAATATGAAATAACTGGATGTCAGATCAGCGACATTCTTGGACAGCAAGGGGCACTGAGCCTCTGGCGGACATCCATTGGAGGGGTGAGTTTGCTCCTGGCTTGCGGCCAGGAGGAGTTCAGACTTTCCCCAACCCACTTGACTCCCTGGTCACCCTGCAGTGGTGGCTCCACCCTGATAAGCTCTCCTGCCTCCCATCCCAGCTTTCATCCAGGTACACCTTCTTCTATTCCTCCCTTCCCCCTGGGGCCATAAAATTTCCCTAGCTCAGCTACCTTGCATGCTGGACCTGGGCAGTAAGCGCAACACGGCAGGAGGCAGTTCCTGTGTTTCAATAGCCTGTCTGAGGAAATGTAGGCCTTCTGTCAGTGAAGTCCCTGCCCAACAATGGAACCTGACCCTATATAAGAAGATCCAATAGAGAACATTTGAAGGAAGAGATGGGCAGATGACAAGGCAGGAACTCTTCCAACAATCTGAAAAAACAACATGAAAACACCAGATCCCAAGGACCCTACAATAGAAGGACTTGAACACCTCAATCCAGAAGAAGTAAAAAAAAAGTGCCATTATGAAAACAATAGAGTTCTTTACACAGGATATGAATAACTCCATTAAAGAAATGGATGAGAAGTATAACAAAGAGTTTGAAGAAATGAGTAAAGAAATGGAAGAGAAGTATAACAAAAAGTTCGAAGAAATGAGTAAATCAATGAATGATACCCTGGGAAACCAGAAAAAACAATCAAACAGGTAAAGGAAACAGTTCAAGAATTGAAAACTGAAATGGAGGCAATGAAGAAAACACAAACTGAGGGACGACTAGATATGGAAAACCTAGGGAAATGAACGGAGACTACAGAATCAAGCATAACCAATAGAATACAAGAGATAGAAGAATGAACCTCAGATTCTGAAGACACCATAGAGAAAATAAACGCTCTGATCAAAGAAAATGGCAAATCCAACAAATTCTCATCACAAAACACTCAAGAAATCTCGAACTCAATAAAAAAACCAAATCTAAGAATAATAAGGTATGAAGAAGGAGAAGAATTGCAGATCAAATACCCAGAAAGTA